TATTAWWMWAYTWKATRAWRMARMRAASRWMGTWRTYAWMAMWWYTTTTTTCTATTTACTTTTTTAAATATGCTCAGTTATGTTTATTTTTTTATTTTTTTTCTAGTTTGTGCTTCAATCTTTGTTTTTGATTCATGGTTCTAAGTTTCAAATAGCTTTTCATAAAGATTTTACTTTTGTTTGATTTCTCYTTTTTTCTTTCCTTCCTGTCTCGCTGTCTTCTTGTCTATTGACTTACTTCAACTAAGCCGTATTACGTTTTCTATCTAAAATCGTGCGGGAAGATTTGCAAGTCTTGTTTTGGTAGAATGTGACGTCAATAGCGCATTCCAAAGTGCATTAGTAACTATTCCGATACATGTTCTTGAAAGTTGACGGCAGCTTGATTATATCCACGGACTAGTATACCAACCAAAAGAAAAAGAAATAAAAGAGATAGAAAGGAATAAAGAAAAACATATTCCTTTTATATTTTATTTCAAAATTTGACTTTTCCCATTTTTTAACAAGAATTGAAACGAAAGTCCGCAAATTAGAAAAAAAAAATTGCATAACATGCCGCACTATTTGYTTCTCTCCTTCCTCTTTGTCACTTTTTTATTATTTGTTTTGATGTGACGTTTGTTAACACAGTTTTTAAAGTAGAGAGCACCAAATRGGCACATGGTCTTGCTTGCAAATACATGACCCTTATATTGGTACCCGCTGCCCCCTTACAAAATATCATATTCACAATCTTCAAACAAATCACATCAAACTTTCTAAAACTCCATTCATTTTCCATGCTTGTTAAAGATAGTTTGTACCAAAAGAAAAAAAGAAAAAAAAAGAAAAAAGAAAAAAGAAAGAATACTACTTTTTTAAGTAAAAAAATGGATAAAAAAGTTGAATAAACTGTCACATTTTCCATGTTCCTTAGAAAAATGTGAAAGTCCCCTAAACAAACATGTTGGATAGTGTTACGTATGTCATTGCACTAACAACCTTTGAAAGTATTATGTCATGTGACCTTTATCTGCCGGGTATCATGTTGTTTAAGTATAGGGTTAACGATAGTTATAGGCACGTGCTTCGGTCGTCAGGTTTTTTGCTGATTGTCTAACCTTGTTTGACAGCCATCCTCAAGAAACATGAAAAATAGTTTAAACAAGACTGTCATAATATTTGACATTGCACAAACAACAACCAATAAACAACCACACAAAAACAAATCTTAAAATGACGAARATGCATGGTGAAGACAGCAGCAAATGATGTTTTTGATGAACTCAATAAACATTGTGGCTAACTGTTTGCTGGGGAAAACATAACTCTGGATATTTAAATGTCACTTTTTACCACGGTTTTTATTGCTACTTGCTAATCGAGAGAACAATCGCGATCACGACAACGGGAAAATCGGGCAATAGACTACCGTCAGTTAAATAAATTGTTCAGTACCTTTGCATACTCTGATTGACGGCAGTGTATTGCCCAATTTCCCAGTCTCGGTTTTTTTGATCAGCSCGTAGCAATGAAAAAAGTGGTAAGTGAGCTAAAGTGTGTGTAATTTTCATCGTTACTTTAGTTGTAATGTGTTATGCCAATGCATTCGTTTTTAAATATTTTTTGATCCTTGCAAGTTATGAAATCAATCAGGGTTGGAGAAAAACATTTCTCGACGTTCAATCTTACATATATATACAGTTCAATCTTACTTATATTTAAAGCAAAATAGAAAACGGAGTCAAAAAAAAAAAAACTGACATAGCTGAGCAACCAAAAAAATTTGATATGAAGCAAAGTTTGATAATATTTGAATGGATTGCATGATGCGGTGGCAGCGTGATTGAGCTAAAATAATGAAAGCTGTAAAGTTATCAGAATCGGTTTCGCAAACTGCATTGAGACTGGGGCTAATTATAGTAACCAAGGATTCGCTTTGAGAGGATGCTTGAACACCTGTGAAATAGGTAACCAGTGCGTTCACAGGCGCACCCTACTCCATGACCCATATTACCTATGAGGTAATGCACCACGAAGGAATAAGTTATGAGCAGGACACCAGGGGCATTCAAATCATTGCATCTAACTCGACCAAGAAGTTTCGCTGAATCTCTTCACGCCCTTCAAGAAACCGGACTTTCTCAAGCATCGATCGAGAAAAAAAAATCTATAAGGAAAAAAAAACTCCAGTCAAACTCAAGACTCGTGGCACAAAGCTTCTTGCTTTGAATTCAAAAGGTTTGAGACTAAACATCATTAAGCAATTTACATATTTGATAGATWTGTCTTAGTGTCAAATCTGGAGTGTCTTTCGATTTAAAAAAAAAACTTGACTGAGCTTGTAGGTAGGCGCTGTGATACTGTAATGTCTAATTAACAAATTAGTCGTCAAAAACGCCAAAGCAAGTACCTCTGGTAGTGAGACAAGAAATCTTTCAGACRCAGAATTTTTTTACTTTTTTTGTAGTCACTAAAGTCTGTGTGTGTGTGACCTCTTTAGTCATCTGTGCCCTCTGTATTTGACCTTACTAAAACCATTTCCTTGCGGTTCTTGCTTTTGACTTTTCTCTTGTTCTTATTTTCTCATAAGCCTTAATGCCTCTAAAATATTYCTTTTAAATTTTTATTGTCAAAACGTTTCCTAGAAAACTGGTTTACTATAAATATAGTAACTAAGCCAASACATTCTTCACTTGAACGTATCATGATCTTTCAATATGGTGTCATTCGAAACTTGCATTTTTTATATGAATTTGAGACAATGTTTTTTACTGTCACGATATTTTTCTTTTTAACTATTTATTTCATTCAAATTTACATTCCTTTTTTTTTTTTTTTTTTTTTTTTTACTTGAATTTTTTTCTTGATGCTGTGTCAATGGCTTAGCTTAATCTTTTCTACGTTTTACATATGTATTTTCAAGAAGGTTTTCTAGTTTCTTTACATATAATTTTGATAATCTTATATGACTTAAGCAAACATTTTCGCTTAAGACGTTCATTTTGGCGATCCGATAATTTATTATAATATTTCAAATATCTTTTGATGAAAATGTAATAAAGTCCACAGTGGGATATCCCAGCGCTTTCGAGTTGGTGGCCACTAGAATGACGTAAGTGTTGACGATGTGTGTTTCAAGGGTCTTGGTTAACTGGTAAGGGCAAATCAGGGCATGGTTTTTAAGGACTATATTACTGCAACTGTTTGTATATCAGTGACACAATTTACATAAGCTTCAATATCAACAACAACAATTTTTTACAAAAAAATTAAATCAAAAATCATTGCTTTTGCTGAAAGATTTTAAAATTCAAAATCAAAGAAAAAACATCGAATTAAAATTACATTATCTTTAGTCTAGAATAAACTATAACGATAAAAAATAGGATATATAAAAGCAAGTTAAACAACATAACATTTTCTAGTCTGTCAATATATTATTATATTTGGAAATATACTTTAGTCATATCATTTTTGAACACCTCGTTATTCGRGTTCTCGGTCCCCGAATGTTTTATTTATTCCCCAAAACGCACAACTAAACTAGCTGAGGATATTTAGCTGTATTGGAAATTTCTTACGAAATATTTTAAATAATCAGCTAGCTAAAGCACATATTTTGTTTCTCCTTAAAAAAATATTTTACCGTAAAATTTCCAACACAAAAACGTTTATAGTCTCTTGAAAGTGTGTTTTAACATTGTTCAAAAACAACTCTTTATCTCCGATAATAGTCACGTGACTGTTGCCAATATTTTGACAAACGAAAAATCTTTCTTTTTTTTTTCTTTTTTTTTTTTTACATTTGTGAACTCCTTGAGCGTTTTGTATGTAACATAGCGGGCATGATTGGTTTCCTTAAGGTTATATCTTCTTAACCAAGCGTCATCAAATTGTTTAACCATTTTATTTTTTCAACAACAGAATAAGAATAACATGGTCTGYATTCATGATTTCAAAGTTGAACCGTAGCATCGTTTGATCTGATGCATCAGCTATAGAACATAGCGGCCACCAACCGTTTACCACACTTTTTGACAGTGTCTGTATTAACTGGGTAACATAGCGGCCACCAACGAGGGTCAATACAGGTGGGCCATGTAGGACAATGATGACACCACAAKAACAAATTAGGAGCTGATTAAAACAAAACGACAATACAAGTTCCTAGAAGACATGACTTAATACTATGATTATGAGATTGTTAAAGGCAATGCATTGGGACGTGCTGGCTGAATTCATTGATTTCTACATCTTTGTTGTTAAGGCAACATATAATAGGGCGCACTTTTTAATCTTTTTACCCCCTTGGAGACATTACGTAATGTTGTCGTACCCTACGTGTAGCGTTGCTAGGTGACGGCTAGTTATTGCCCAGACATGACCTAATGACAAGAATAATTGATTCTTAAATTGTTGTTGATCGATTGACAGAAATCAGTCTCAAGAATGTCTTTCAGTCGAGTAGTAATGACATATGTATTAAGCACAATAKAGCGTCGTCCAAATCTTAGGTTTAAAAAATCTTATGGATACCCTTTAAAATATACATCGGCTGGGACTAGCTAAGGTCGGATGTTATAAAAAAGGTAAGTAGTTGAGGGCCACTGGCATTAGCTGCATGAGTATTGAAAGGACTGAGAATCAAGTAAAAAMTCATCTGGCAACTTTTGCAGATTAAGATATAAATAAAATAATGTCAACAAATTTTCAATTAATTTTATATAATATAAATTTTGGATTTATTTAATACATARTATTTAAAAAATCGACGACCATCMCAATACYTTTCCCGAGAGTACCCCCTCCCGGGGGTGTATGGTAACACTAATGGGGACGAGAATAWACTAAAGTTAAGATTGACAAAGCTCTCTCTCTTATCATAACTCATCATCAAGAATGATGATATTGATGGTGGTGATGGTGGCCATTATGATGTTGAATGATGATGATGATGAACAAAATAATCTCCTAATTAGGCATATCTTTCATTTGACTTTGGTTTGACATTATCAGCATTATAAGGGATGGTGATGATGATGATGATTATGACATTGTGCTGGTGCTTGAGCTTGTGGTAATAATTATTGTCGATAATGAATTACTAAAAAAAACATACTCCTAATACCATGTTGAGCTTGGCAGTCGTATCATTAGGTTATAAAATATTTTGATAAATTAAAAAGTTTACTAACTTAATAATTTTGCGAAAAGAAAAAAACATCATATAACATCAATAAAAAGGCAATAATCAGAAGCAAATTTCCTCATCCACTTTAGCCCATTACAGGTTCTAGATTCTTTTAAGTGCTTCCTAATTTCAGCATTGGCTACAAGTCATTCTGTCACTTTTTATGGATGCGGGTTCCACTAAGAAAGATAATAACTTTTTTAAATCTACACTCTACTTTTCTTAGGGGGGAAAACGGAAATATTTTTCCTTTTGACATGTGGCGACTAGGTGTCTGTACTGATTCCAACTCTCAACCTGTTCACTGTGCACATCTTCCATTGTTGGTATTACCATATAAGGTATCTTGTAAACAACCTGGTTCAAAAAGTTGACGACATGGAACGGGTCAGGGTTGTTAATTGTTCACCAGTCGATATCAAAGCTTGTTGTTCAAACTAAGACTGATATATTAGCCAAGAAGTTGATTATCTTGGAAAATATGCTTTCGATCTAGACAGTTACGTCAAATGTTCTTCATTATTCAACTATCATGATGGCAGGATGGCTTTGGAGGTCAATATGGTATTGATTTAATTGCAAGTAATATAATCCATAATAATATCTTGCCTTATTTGATATAATTGTTTAAATCTTGAATTCTTTTTCAGATTTTTATACGAGGGCAGTTAGGGAAGAATCATTGAGCAACCGATATCCCAGTGGAGTATGCCTCATAGAGGTAAATATCAAGAATTATCGGACTGAAATCCAGACCTTTTGAACACAGCTATGACTATAATAATTAATTACAAAGTTAAATCTATATCATTTAATACTATAAAACATACATATAATATTTTCCTTTGCCTTTTACTGAAAAATACGAAAAAAATAATATATTTGTATAAATGAAAATGTACTAAGATTGGTTCCGCAAAGAATTTTTTACTGGAAATTTGACTGGTCGAAACAATAGAATATTTGATTAATCCAGTACAGAGAATTTTTAAGTAGGCCACCTTGTTATATATGAGATGCCAAAAAATCTTCACAAAAACAATTGCAAGTTGCCGGATCATTATTTTGCCTGGAATAATGRCAGTTTTGAATTTCTTCTTGAAAAATCTTTATCGCCGTCAAATTACTAACTTTGAAGATTTTGAGACTAATTGGATTTCAAGGCTTTATTAGAACTCTAAACTTGATCTTATTTATATATCAACTGCAATTTTATTCTTCTTCCTCGTGCTGTTCTATAGTTTTATTGAGTTGATATTGGTAATAAATTTTAAATTTTTTCTACTGGTGAAGACGGGTTCTAGCCTTTTACGTATCTTGCTATCCAGATCTTTCAATTAAAACATCAAATTCTAATAAACATTTACAAAAAGTAACATACCAAAAAGTCTTGATATGATTTATGGGAAAGAAGGTTCGCGACTAGTTTGTTAGCGTAAAACTCAACGAACTAAATTGTGAGCATCTGTCACCATGATTGTATCCTTTTTAGAACATTATCCAGGAAACCCATCATTTTTTTAACATTCAGCAGCAGTTCCTACCTTAAATACAAATACTTCATTAGATGACATTTTTTGCTATTTTTTCATAAATTGAAGGTCCCGGTGGGGTGAACCAGTTAGGAGGTGTGTTCGTCAATGGCCGACCACTTCCCGATTACATGCGCCACCGCATTGTCGAGCTGGCTCATTGTGGCGTTCGTCCATCGGAGATCTCTCGGCAACTACTCGTATCCCACGGCTGCGTCAGTAAGATACTCGGGCGCTACTACGAAACGGGGTCAGTTCGACCAGGTGCTATCGGTGGAAGCAAACCCAAAGTAGCCACACCAAAAGTGGTGAAAAAGATCTTAGAGTACAAAGATAAGAATCCGTGTATCTTTGCCTGGGAAATAAGGAACAATCTACTGGCTGACGAAATATGTGACAAGACAAATGTTCCAAGTGTAAGCTCCATAAACAGGATACTCCGGAACTCAGCTGCCGAGAAAGAAGCTCGGGCCGTGCACGAACAGGTTAAACATGCTCAACAGGTACATCAACAAATTCAGCAACAGGTGACTCTACAACCCCAGCTCAATGGATTTCCCTCACAGATCAATTTTACGCTTCCTCACACGACCGCCGTCAACTTCACCCCAAACATACAGAATACTCAGACTGCACAGCASCATCCTACTGTCCCTAACCCCTCCCAGGTCCAGCCACCTCAACAGCAACCTTCCCCTGTCAAGACCCCTCAGGAGATCATTGTACAAAGGGCTGCGAAGACGCCTACTGAGAATGGCCATAAGATCTCCCAAAATGGTAATACTTTACAATTTACAAATAATCTGTTTTCTAAAATAATCAATTTTCTGTCATAGGAAGAAAATGGCTTTAGGCACCTTGCACTAATTTTCCAATTTCGGGGTCGAAATATAGTTCCCTTCTCTTTGTGGATTGAAAACTGTTTTGATGTTAGTTTTTTCATTGCATGTTTTGACGCCCATTARGGGATTTATTGCAAAGGTATATATCGTTCTCAAAAACAATGAAATTGTAAGCGAAATATATGTAGCTAAAAAGCATGGTTTGTAATAAAGAACAGGAGTCTACGCGGAGAAAAGCGTTCTACCTTGAAAATATTCCATTAATTGGTTCAAAAATGCAATGCGCCATAACGAACACCGTAGCCTCTTGCCAAATGCTGGAGATTTTTTGGGAAGGATAAAATAAGTAATGCCCTGTTTTTTATATCAAATTGACAAAGATATTTTTTACACTTTTAGGAAATGGTCAAGAAATCCATGTCAAATCAGAACAAAATGCATCAAAAGAAGAAATAGAGAATGAAAAGACGAACGAAGACCGGAAACGAAAATCAGACAGCGTCCTAAGTGACAATGTGGACACGATAAAGGAAATCCCTCAGAAACTTAATGGCGAGAATACTGATGTTAATGGTAACGAAGGCCCCGAGGCGAAGAAGAGAAAAGTGGTGTACATTGACAATGGTAATGGCAATKGCAATAAGACGGAGACGTTAAGCGTGAGTATATACATATATAWAACATTTTCCCTTATCATACCAGAATTAAGGCCGGATACGAATTATAAGTATCGAGATGACCATTAGAATACCAGGCAGATGACGGATTTTGATCTTGRGCTTGTCATAAATTATGCAGCTCCTGTCATGCCAAAGATGCGACATTTGGAAGAAGAAGAGAAGAACAGACACATTTCTCAAATGTTGAAACTGCAATTTGAAAACATTTTTATCAACTAGCATATTTTTTACAATTTTCTTTAAAAAAAAAAACTTGCATCAAAATTTCCTGCACCTTCACTTTGGCTTAAAAAACGGGTAACTATCGTCAAAATGACATCTTTTKAATGTCACATTGGTCCAGGAATGAATTGTGTTATAATAAATTAAATACAAACAAAATTAAAAGAAAATATTGTTTTCTTTAATGCAACAGCCTGTTTACACGCGCGTGTCGCCCACTTGGATCAAGTACAATTCTGTGATTCCCAGTGGCTTTGCAATTGCTGGAAACATCAACGGTATAAACACCATAGCAGACATGAATGGCATCAATATGAATGGTCTTAATGGTATTGGTAACATGAACGGCATTAGTGCTTTGAATGGAATCAACACTATGGCAGCTCAGGTGAATGGTTTCAATGGAATGAATGGTATGGGAAACGGAATGGGAAATGGGGTGGGATTTGTGAATGGGAACACAGCCATCAATGGCATCAATGGTCTTGCTGGAATCAGTACGCTTAATGGAATAAATGCCTTAGCAAACATCAGTTGTCAAACAATGAATGGTTTGAATGGAATAAATGGAATYAATGCCCTAAATGGTCTTCATCAAGCCAATGGTGTTAATGGCAACAACACAAGTTACCCACAAAATACTGAACAAGAAAGATCCATGAACCAGAATCATAGCAATGGTAATGGAGTGCATTCAGACAACATCCATTGGTCATCCCAGTACCCAGTTGTATGCATTCCTGAATCCAGCCAATCAGGAGGCATAAACCAAAACAATGGCACCAACAAGGGAGAAGCTTTCCATCCCCAAATCACTTTCCAATTTGCTGGTACTTCAAGACCGGAAATCCAAAACATAAACGGAAATACCACAACCACTTCCGTTTACGCTCCAATCACCACAGCTGGTCCCAGGTTCTCGACAATCCCAGTTGGGAATCCGCTGGCCAACGGCATCCAAACCATGCAGTTTACTCGTCCCATGACAACGGAGTTCACATCACCAATCATGAAATTCGTTGGCCCTGGTACGTTTCTCCCACTAAGACCATCAATGTCAGCACTGGACACGCTTACCCAAGGATAAAAACTACATCCAAAGACATTGACAAGTTATGACAAGCTGCGTCTAATGCGCATGCGCTAAAAAACAAAAACTACCACATAGCAAGTTATTAAGAGAGCAAYCGGAAGTGTTTCTGATTTAGTGGCAGGTACCTGATCCCTGGATAAAACAGTACCATATGTATGCTCTGTATAGAGTAAAAACGACAGATTGTAATCATAGACTATAGATAAACTCCAAGAGACATCCATAYACACTAATGTTTAGGACTATGCTGCCTCAGTTTTGGCTGTATCATAAGTCAGGTCAGAAATATTTAAATTTATTGAAGGATCGTGCCACATTTCAGTTTGTGGTAGTTTTTTCCTAAGCACTTTAAACAATGTTACCCGAAATATATCATTTATACATATGTAAACTATATCCGACTCTACAAAATCTTATAATTTATCCTATATATATATATTTTTTTTCTCTATAAACAAAAATAATCACTAACGATAAATAATACTTCAGTATTATTTAAAATTTAGATGATTGAATTTGTCTTTCTAGCTTTGACCTGATTAGCATCTAATCGGAATAACAGGGAACGATTTTATTGTAAAACTATAATAATAATATTGTTAATGATATCGTTATGTCATAACATTTAGCCGTAAATATTTAATGGCAAATTTATTGTAATTATTAATGTATATTTATCTTTATTAATGATAGAGTTGRGCAAAATCTAGCAAATTACTAAGTAGCTTCATTAAATATTTTATTGATCATTTCTAAGCAAATTGAGTTTAAAGTAGTTGAAATGACATTTAAGCTGCAAAATGATTGAAGTACTAAGTATAAAACTRAAATAGTTAAGGACAATGGCGCCCATTCAGATAAAGCGCAGGATTTAAGGTTAACATTTAAAATGAAAGCACTTATATACTTGACTTGAAAATATTCTTTAAAAAAACGAAAAAAATTCTTTAGTAACCAGACTATTCCGCAAAAACTTCAATACGCATGCGCGTGCAATTRTGCAGCTGACATATTGTAGGCGAATTCACAGAAACGATTTTCAAGCTGAATAAAAACGGGGTTTTACTTTGTAGTTATTTTTATTAASAAAATAGCTAAAAACAATTTAAAATATTTATTTTCTGAAAAAGAAAGGTCGTGACTCTGGAAGCAGCAAGAAACGTGCCGCACATGTTATTAATGAATAATTAAACCTTTCAGCGGAAGATAAAGCAAAAAACTGTTCGCAGTTTGTTACGCAGTTTCTATTCAGCTTGAGCTAATATATTTTATCATATCTAATGTATGTATTTATCAAACTAAAGAKATTCTATTTTTCCATATAATTAATCAATATCGATACAATATATTTATTGCTGTTCACTGGCTCTAGATAACATCATCAGCAGACAAAGGAAGACTAGTTGTTATTTCCTCCCTA